GAGAGGTCTAAGGAGAGGGACGGCGAGGGTGCTGTGTCCTGCAGAAAGGCCACACTGGTCCGGGAAGCGTCCCCCACATCAGCGGCTCTTGTAAATAAGACACAGCGATGTCAGCCTCTTTCTGCCAGCCCGGGTACCACTCCATGGGCCCAGGTGCAAAGTGGCCGTGGCAGCAGGGGCAGAGGCTGTGTAGGGGCCGGTTCCGTGGCTCCCTGAACTCTCAGCCCGGCTCCAAGCCCAATGATCCCAAACCAGCAAAGATCAAAGCAAGGTCAGAGGGTGGGGACATGCCAGCAACCTGGTAGCTACCGGACAACACGTGAGCCACAGTCAGAGCGGAGATGGTGACTTACCCCGGAGACAGATGTGGCTTTGCTGTCCTGGCCACGACATGGGTGCCAGTGCCTAGTCCCCCACCCGCCCCAAATGCCACAGGGCCGCAGTAGCCTCCGAAGGAGGGGCCCGTCTTACCTCCAGGGCAGACAGCAGCGGGCTCCTGCCAGGAAGCTGACAGGAAAGCTTTGACCCTGTGGAACTGCTTTGCACAGGGCCTCCCCTACTGCACACCCCACTGCTCCGTGGGATCCCTGCTCTGTGGGCTTGAAGGTCCTGTGTCCAAGGAAGGAGCCAGGGAACCCAGTCCCCCTCCAAGGAAGCTAGAAGCTGAGAAGGCTCTGACCATCACCGGTCCCCAGGCCACTGAGCCAGTGGCTGGAGAAGAGAATGTTTGACTGCTGGGGTGATGGAGCCCCGTCACCACGGGGAAAGGAGGTCGAGGCTTGTTACGGGCAGAACTGTGTCCTCCAAAATTCATACATTGAGTTCTAACCCCCAGGACCTCAGAATGTGGTTGTATTTGGAGATAGTCCTCTAAAGAGGTGATTGCAATGAGGTCATGTGGGTGGGCCCTAATCTCACCTGGCTGGTGGCCTTGTAAGAAGAGATTAGGACACAGACACACACAGAGGGACGGCCACATAACAACATGGGAGAAGGCGGCCTTGTGCAAGCCAAGGAGAGAGGTCTCAGGAGGAACCAGCCCCCCAGCACCCTGACCTCAGACTCTGGTCTCCAGGTCTGGGAGGAGAGGAGTGACCGCTGCTCGGGCCGCCAGCCCACCATGCTCTGTCACGGGGGCCAGGCTCAGACAGCACATCGTGATGAGGCAGGATGACAATGCACAGGAACAATGCCCACCAGGCACCCCTAGTGCCCCTTGTATGGTCACAACGGGGCCCCAGCAAGACGGTCTGGGTCCCCCAGTCACCAAGCCCTGAAGTCCCCAGACCAGGGACTGGCTTTGTGGTTCATGCAGAAATGTGGCCAAACATCTCTTGCCCAAGACGAGACTGCTGGTGGGAACTGGTGTCCCCTGAGTTTCCACATGGATGGGGGGTGATAGGTTTCAGGGGAGCCAGAGGGGTGACTGGGCCTGGTCTTCCATCTGCCTTCCAGGCCCACGGCCCCACCACCCTTGTGCCCAGGCAGCTTGGGGTGGGCAGTGGAGAGAGGAGCATGGGGTCGGGGCCCCCACTTCTGCTGGCAGTGGCCCCAGGCTGGTGCATCCCTGAGCTGAAGGTCTTTGCTGGGCAGCTCCTCCCCTCATTCCTCCGTCTCTCCACCTGCCCTGGGGCAGAGGTGGCTGTGGGGAGGAGCCCCGGGGCTCGGCACCACCCACTGTGGCTTCCCTGCCCCCTGCCCATATCTCTATAAACAGTCCCCAGGTCATGAATACGCCATCTGTTTCCTTCTGGGCCCAGACAAGGAGCTAGGATGACCAAGAGTGGACACTGCTGGCCATTTCTTCTGCTGGAGACAGTCTGGGCCAGGCAGCCTGGCAAGGGGTAGGGGACAGCCTGGCTGGGCCTCAGGGAGTGGATAACCCTCTGGGCTCTGTCCCAGGCACACTCCACTCGCAGGGCACCCTCAGCCCCCACCCTGCAGGAGACGGGAGTGGTGGGGCCTGCTGCTCCCGGAGGTGACACCAGAGACCCTAACTCCAGTGCAGTCCACACCTCGCCCTCCCGCAGCTCACACCTGTCTGCCTCAACCTGCACCCCATCCCAGCTCCCACAGGTGGGGAGGGGGCTCTGACCAACAGGCCCCACATCTGCCTAGCGCCCCTGACAAAGGCTTTCCCGGAGACTGTGTGTGGAAAGGCACTTTAAGAGGTTGAGTGAGGGGCAGGAGGGGCAAACAGAGGGGGTGACTGTCGGACAGGCTGATGGTGGTCCAGCCCAGCATGGCCCCTGGCCGCCCCAGCTCACCGGTCAGCACAGGCTCATCGCCGGGCAGCAGCGGCCCTCAGGGTGCCGGGACCTCCAGATACTGCACAGAACTCGAGAAGGGGCCTGGCCGGGCCCAGTAGTCCACTGCACGAACCCGGTAGGAGCCAGAGATGACGGCCCCGTCTGGGGACACAAAGGTACATGTGTGGTCTTGAGTGTGAGCCCCCCGATCCCCCGAAGTCCTAAAGGCCCCCAGCTCCAGGCTTTGAAAGGCCCTGGACTCCACCCCACCAGGCCCTGTGCTGAGGCGGCAGGCACACCTGGGCTGAACACGAAGAGGTTAAAGGTCGAAGGCTTCCTGCTGATGGGCGCGTACGCCCCACCATCCGGGGAGAACTGGATCTCATAGGTCCACAGGCACCTGGGGAAGGTCAGTCAGGACCAGCGCTGGGGTCCAGGTGGACTGACAGGCAGAGCAGACCCAGGGCCCTACTCCCTCCAGCCCCCTTCCTGAACCCTCCCCGGGGCTGGGACACTCTTCCTGCAGTGACACAGGGCCACACTGGCTGAGAAGATGGGGCTGGAGCCCCAGTGCCACCTGCAAATGTCACCCTACATCAGACAGCTGAGAGTCGTGGGCCTCTGTGCCCACAGTGGGGTGGGTGTAGAGGGGGCAGAGGTGCGACGGTTGGAGGGCCACAGCCAAGTGGCCACGTGGGCACTACAGCCTGGAGGATTTGGGGGCCAAGGACACAGGTAGAAAGGAACAGATTTAGGGGGTGTAGGGGTAGGACTGCACTCACGCACTTGGAGCCCACACGCACATCCGACCAGACCAAAAGCAGCTGCCCACGGGTCAAGGGCAGAGCACGGAGCCGAGTCACCTGGAGGAGTGAGGCACCGTGACTCGGGGGTGAGGGGTCGGGGGTGCGGGCCTGAGCAGGGGGACACCTGAGTGGGGGACACGGAGCTACCACTTGCCTGGCCTGGGGGCTCCTGAGGGCGCGCACACACGTGCACCAGCAGGAGTGAGGGCAGGGGAAGCTCGGGACTCAGGGTCAGCTGGCCACTGGTGGGAAGGGGCGCGGCGTCACGGCCACCGGGTCCTGTGGACAGGGTCAGGTGCTCAGGGCCCTCAGACCTCTGGAGCCTCTCTGCCCTCCACCTCACCCTCCCCGCAGACCTCAGCCGCGCGCATGCGCTGGAACTGCTCCGCAGAGGGGAAGACCGGCCTGCCGAGGCGCTGCCACTCACGGTGGGGGCTGCAGGACCAGTTGTCCATGTAGAGTGTTACAAAGACGAGCCCTGCAGAGCCAGATGCTGGGGCCATGCCTTGCCCCTCCAGGCCCTGCCCCACCCCCCACCGGAGCTACCCGGGCTCCCTGCTCACCTGGGCCGGGGGGCACCCCATGCAGGCGTAGGGTCAAGGTGACGCTGCGGTTGGCGTGGGCATGGGTGTCATTGCTCGCGTAGACCAGCACCGTGGCACGCCAGGTGTCAGCGGGGCCAGTTGGGCGGTGGGTGCTGGCCAGGACGCCCACCGTGTGGTTGCTGTCCAGCACCATCCCAGCCTGAGACACCTCGGCCCAGAGCTGCTCACCGTCTGCAGGCCAAGGGGGTCACCACGCAGAGTCGTCACCCCTCTGCCCTCCCTAGGCCTGGCTTCCCACCATTTGCCCCTCCTCCACTGGAGGCCCCCGGCCACACCGCCACCTCTGAGACCCACTGAGCTGGGGGAGGGGAGGACAAGAAACATGCGCCCCGGTCCCCAGCAGGGCACATCCACCCCTGGGCCTCTGCACAAGCTCCTCCTGGCCTAGAACGGCCTTCCTGTCCAGCTGAGACCTCGGCTCGGCCCTCCCTGGCAGGCAGCAACGTGGGACCCAGCACGCAGCTCACCCAGCAGGGCCAGTAGTGCCATGGCTGTGAGCACTGGCTTGCGCAGCAGCTGCACGTGCGGTGGGCGTGTGTTGTTGACCTGGAAGCGTGCGGTGAGTGTGCGCTGTGAGAAGGGGTGCGGGTGGTAACTCAGGAAAGCGTTGTCATTGCTCAGGAGCGCGTAGTGCACGGCGGAGCTGGTGTTGGCCACCAGCAGGTTCTGGTGCTGCGCGATGACCTGCGAGCCGAGGGGCAGCTGGGACCGCGGCCAACACGGCCACCCGCCCACCCCACCCCCACCCCATCCAGGAGGAAGGCTGCTCCTGGGGGCGTCCTGGGGCTGGGCCCACCTTCACGACCATGGCAGCGTAGGTCACGTCGGCCCTCCAGGGCTGCGGCAGGGACCAGCCCACCAGTGGGTCCGCCTCATCATTGTAAAGGGGGGTGTCAGTGAACTTGGGGAAGAGCCGCTGTATCTGCCCCACGACTGCCACCTCCTGCTCCAGGATGCGGATGGAGCTGCCTGCGCCCTGTGTAGTGGCCCTGACTGAGCAGCCCCCGTGACCACTGCCAGCAGGCAGCGGGGCTGCAGGCAGCAGTGGGGATCCCGGGGCAGCCCCACCCACGGGAGCCCCCCGGGCACTGTTTGGGGTCCAGGTGTGCAGAATGGTGGGGACCCCCAGGTACCTTCTTGTGGAGGGAGATGTAGTCCAGCCGCACGCCCACCTCCCCGGTGAAGAAGTTTGTGCCATTGTGACAGTGTCCCAGGAGGCCCCAGCACAGTGGGGAGCCCGGTGGTGGGTGGAAGGAGTCCCCAGGGCCACCCAGGCGCAGAACCGGGCTGGCAGCACGCAGACCCTCAGAGCAGGCATCGTAGTAGTTCAAGAAGCCTGGGCAAGAGGGACACAGGGTCCACATCCCCGCACTAGAGGCTGCTGCCACCCCCTCTCAGATCTGCAGGACTCAGGAGGCCCCCTTACCTTGCAAAGTCATGGAGACGTTGTCAAAGTCATGGTGGTCCGGCTCATTCCATGTCTCAAAATTCCACTTGGAAACATGCTTGAGTCCATACCTAGCTGCAGAGTGTCCCTCCTGTGACAAGAGGGCCTCCCCTGGGGCAGGGCTATAGTCCGCCCGGACCCCCAGGGAGAGGCACCCATGGTCTGGGGTATAGATGCGATGGGGATGTCTGATTCCCTAGGAGCTCACCCCTACCCTGCCTGGCTTCTCTCCACGATCAGAAGGTCCTGGCTCAGTAGGTTCATGACAGAGAATTCCAGCAGGGTGGACTGGGTGGTGTGGGGGGGAGAGCCTGCCCAGAAGTGCCCACCCTGTCCCCCCAGGGCATGCGCCCTGCCCACCGATGTATCTCCTGGCCAGGAGGGAGACCAGGTTCTTCCACTCAAACACCTGCTGCTTGTCCTCAAAGTCGGTGAAGTGTCCGGAGGGGCTGCCCATCAGCTCAAAGCCTGCAGCACATGAGGGAGGCTGTCCCATTACTCAGCAGGCCAGCACTGAAGCTGGCCCTGAGTGGGCAACCAGGAGGACCCGGAAGGGCCAGGAGAAGGGGAGGGGGTTGGGCCAGTCATACAAAGGTGATGCTGGCTGCTTACCCGGGAGGAGCTGGTTCTCCCTGAGAAGGTCCAGGTACCGGTCCAGCTGAGTGAAGTTGTAGCTCAGGCCATGCCCAGCTGACCCCCTGTAGAAGGACATTTAATATCAGGGTTGGGAAAGGTGGGCTCGGGTCTGGAACTATGGCCACATTCAAGCAGGTAGGGAGCCTGCAAGGTGCCACGCAGGACTAGGCTCCCGATTCAAAATGGGCCCCTCTCCTCGGAAAACATGAATGATGTCAGCCTATTAGACACTCACAGCCTAGTATGAACTAGTGTGCCTGTACTGGAATCCCACTCCAAGCCTTCAGGGACTCAGAACAGCCTGGGGCTCAGGAGTGGGATGGGGCAGGTACAAGAGGATGGAGTGGGGGGTGGGGTGCAGTGAAGTGGGAGGCTGTGGGATTAGAGCCTAGAGGGGCCCGGCAGTTACCATATCCTGCTGCCCTGCTCCTCCTGGTGGTTAGGGCCCCAGACTTGGCTCAACAGGACTCCTGCCCCGGCTCCCACACTTTGAGAGGCAATAGGGACAGGCAGGAGAAAAGGAAGGGCAGCCTCCCGTCCCCTCTCCCCCCACCCCGCACTTTTCCCAGACCTGGGTCAATTCCCATGGGGCTTATAGTCCGAAAGGGTACAGGCATTGTCAGGTAACTACTCAAATCTTTAGGAGCACATCAGACGTGACTTGAAGGGGATGTGACACAGAGCAAAGGGTCAGGCAGGGAGGGCCTCTGCGAGGTGACATCTAAGACCTACCAAGTGATTGATCCAGGCAGCAATGAGAATGCCTTGGGGAATAGATGGAAGGCATGTGCAAAGGCCCTGAGGTAGAAATGAACTCTTGGTGGTCAAGCAGCAGAAAGGCAGCTAGTGGGCCAGGGGCAGAATAAGGGTGTGAGTTCTGAGCAATGAGGTCATACAAGGAATTGACTCAGGGTGAAATAAGGGAGTCCTTTCAGGAATCCAAGCAGAGCAGTGCTGTGACACTGTGTGTATGCATGTGTGTTTAAGACAATTTTTTTTAGAGCAAAATGGAGAGGAAAGTACAGAGATTTCCCATTTACCCACTGCCCCACCCCACAGGCACAGCCTCCCCCACGACCAGCATGTCAGAATATTTGTTATGACTGACAACCCTACACTGACACATCACAATCCCCCCAGATCCATGGTTTACATTAGGGTTCACAGGAGAAGTGCACTCTGTGAGTGTGTCTACCACTGCAGTATCACACAGCGGTTTCCCAGCCCTGGAAACCCTCTGTGCACCCCCTGTTCTCCCTGCCCTCCAACCCCTAATCTTTTTACTGTCTCCATAGTCTTGCCTTTTTCTTTGGCCGGGAGAGGTAATTAAGTTTATTTGCTTATTTTTAGAGGAGGTACTGGGGATTGAACCCAGGACCTCACGCATGCTAAGCATGCGCTCTACTGCTTGAGCTATACCCTCCCCACTTCCATAGTTTTGCCTTTGCCATGATGTTTTGAAAGGATCCCTTCCTTGGCCAGTTGGAGCGAGAGTGGGAGCTGGGAGAAAGTCCTTCAGGGAGAGGAGAGGTGCCTGGACTGGGTGGTGTCCAGAGGGCGCAGGAGCAGCTGGATTTCCGAGGTAGAGGGGACATGGCTGCTGATGGACTGGAGGTGAGCTGGAAAGGGGAGTTCAGCCCAACCCCTGGGACTTGCTCAAGCAACTGGGGGTGGGATGCAGTTGGCAGAAGCAGGCAGGGATAAACTGGGAGTCAGACAGGGCTCGGATCTGCCCTGTGGAAGTGGACACCCAGAGGTGGACCTGGTGTTGGGGGCTGGGCCAGGAAGCTGGTGCTCGGTGGTCAGGCCTAGGCCAGGGAGCGGGACGAGCAGAGCACCCCGCCTGGAGCTGAGGGCGATGCAGCAGCCAGCGGTGAGCTCAGGCTGCGGGTCTTGGCTGGTGAGGAGCACAGGCAGGTGGGCTGGTAGGGGGCCTGAGGGCTTCCAGTGAGGACAAGCCTGGCGCATCAACAGACCTGAGGGAGGGGGGCGGAAACGTCTCACCGGGAGTGCAACTGCGCCCTCTCGTGGCTGCCGGGTTTATGCCGCGTGCGCGGCGGCGGGGGTGGGGCGAGGAGGGATGTCGGTGGAATCCCGCCCGGAACTGTTCTTGGTCTGTGAGCCTCCCCATCCCACACCAAGCAGGCCAGCCCAGCGCTGTCCTCCCAACACAGCGAGGATCTGGACAAGCCAACACCTCCCTTGCGCGTCTCCTCTCCCCCACTCCTCACTTTGCACAAAGCCAAGGCCGAGCCTGGGCCCAGGTCCCGCCACCACGCACAGGTACCTCTGGCTCCTGCCTGGTCGCACACCCTGCTTGCGCTCGCAGGACAGGCTGTGCCAGCTGCCTCTTCCCGCCTCTGGGGCCCAGCCCCACAGCACATGCGCAGCGGGGACCGGCCCCTCCCCACTCCAAAGGTCACAACCGGTAGCAAAGAAAGAAAACAAACACTTGGGTAAAAATTAAATGCGCAACAGCAGATGGGTTCCAAAGTCCCACAGGTGGGGGGGTAGGGGCGTAGGCATGGGCGACGGGCGCCACATGTAAAGTGGAGGCACAGGCACAGGTTCCAGGATTTCTCCGCAGATCCTGGCAGCGCTAGGAAGACTCGGGGCAGAAGTGGACCTGGCCTCGGGTAAATGCTGTTCCCACGCTCAGTGCCCTGGGCCAGCAGGGCGCCACGAGAGAAGCCCCAGCCGCAGAGCCATCCCCAGCCTGCTACTCCTGACCCGTCCAGCCTCAGCACCCCGGGATGCCCTGGAGGCCAGCCAGTACACCTGCCCCTCGGGACCAGAAGACCCAACCCTGGGGTGACTTCAGGCCAAGGAACCCTGGGGAACAGTCCTTGGGCCCCACTGTCGGTGCCTAGGCCTCCACCGGTCTCAGCCCCCGTTAGGAGGGGAATTTGAGAGATCAAAGCGAGGGAGGAGGCTGAGCCATAAGGTGCAGAGCGCAACCCACCCCAGCACTCCCCCTGCAGAGAAGCCTAGGTCACAGACGCAGATCGGGCCACCATCCAGCCCGAGAGCCTCGTCATCCTGTTGCCCTGCAAGGGGCGGAACCTGGGCGCGAGGCACAGGCAGGTCGCTACCAGCTCCTGGCCCTGCACGTGGGCTGAGCCGCAGCGGCTACACAAGGGCCTCATTCAGAGTGCGCCAGGCTGCACCAGGAATCCCCCCCACCCCCATCCCTGGCCCTGAGCGAGTGCGCAGCAAGGACGCAGCAGCCCGGTGAGAGCGTGGGGGGGGGGCGGGGCAGGACCCTGGGCCTTGCGTGCTCCAGTGTTGGGGGGGGGCACACGCGGGGTGTGGACGAGGCAGTGCGTGCTCCACTGGGTCAGCAATCAGGAGGGGGCGCGGGACGGGTCCCCAGCCGCGCTTGCTGGGTGGTGAGGGGAGCGCAGGGCCGGGGTGGGTACACGCGCGAGGAAGGGCCGAGAGTGCTCAGACGGAGAGATGCAGGCGGCTTGTGGCTGTGGGACACAGACCAGCCACTGGGGAGAACCTCTAGCCTTGATCTGGGTTTTAGGGTGGGACGGTGCCCGCCAGCTAGCGGGAGAGGCGAGTCCTGTCTTCTGGAAGTGGGAGCGCTGGAGTCCAGTTCTCAGGGCCCTGGAGATGAGAACTGCTGTCTGCCCAGCCTTTCACTTGTGTTAGGGATACACTGTTTCCTTTCCAAATAAGTGTCCTCAACAACTTAAAACGGTGATTTAGAGACCAATATTTAAGGAAATAACCATGTGGCACAGGATTCAGCCGGAGGCAAGCCCAGGGTGGTTCCAGCAGGCAGAAGGCACTGGAGACCTGGTGCCCCATGCAGATCACTCTGCACACCAGGGTCCTGCTGGCCCTGCCTGAGGTAGAGACGTCTGCGGTTCAGGGGGCCTACTGGGGTGAAGGGAAGACTGGGTCTTGGCCAGCAAGGCCCCAGGACCCAAGACACTCACCTGTGTGCCTGGCCAGGCCACAGGATGAAGACCCAGACCTCAAAGCACAGAGAAACAGAGGGACACGCAGTGGGTGAGGCTTAGATCCCGGGGTCCTGCCGGTCTCTCAAAGGACACCAAACCTCCACTGTCTTTCTTCACCTTCTTTAGACACCCAACTAGGCAGGGGCTGGGACAGCAGAAGGCCGATTCCCTGCCACCAAGGCAACCAAGGCCAGGCACCTAGGTGCTGTGAGTGCTGAGAACAGCGCCTCCCTGAAACGTCTCCACCTGCCTAAAATCCCACCACAGTTGCTCCAAGCCTAGAGAGCACCCCAAATCCCGGTTCCCACCTCCTGAGACGGGGAGGCGCCACCCCTGCCCTCCCCCCACCCTGCCCCCTCACATCCCACCACGGTGTCTCCATGCACGCAGGAGCCCTCCACGCCATGCCCCAAGGTGGTGAGGCCCCACCTGGCAGGCCCTATCTCTGTCCACAGGGGCCACCCAGGGAGTTCCCTCACTGCCACACTGCCGGTAGCTGGGTCAGAAGATAAGCATATATGAGCCCCTCGGCGGTGCCCCCCACTCCGGCCCTGATGTGAGCCTTATCTGCCTCGGGCTGCGGTGACGCATCCCACCTGCCCTCTGGCCCGTGGCTCAGGTAAACCACATCCTTGGGCAGACATCTCCCCCCAGGGCTGAGTGGGTCTGGGCAGGAACTCGGGGGCAGGAGAGGGCACTAGGGAGGCCCCAGGCTCTGCCCTGGGTGGTTGGGCTTGGACTCTGGAGGACAGGGTGAGCTCTTGGGGCCCAACACAGACTCTCCAAGGAGAGTGGAGAGGGAGAAGGCATCTTCGTGGGTCCTGGGCCCCGACTACCCTGCCCTCACTGCAGGTGTGGAGATACCCTCCCCTCCCTGCCACCCTGGGCTTCCATGCCCATCTCTGCCCCCAAGTGGGGCTCCTGGTCTTCTCCAGCAGGCCGCAGAGATTTCAGGGAGGCTTAGGGGAAGTCCCCTGAGTGTGGGAGAGTTCTCCCCATCAGGGCCTCCCGAGACAGCAGCCCCACCAGAGGGACTCCTTGTGGCCTCTCTGGCCTCCCCGCTCGCATGGAGAACGCTCAGAGCTGCGGCAGCCCCAGGGGGCCAGCCCCCTTCCCCACCTTGCTCCTCAGGCACCTGCTATTCATTTTAAGGATGGGAGAACTGAAAAACAGCAACACACTCTTAGTTTATCGTGTGTGGGACACGGGGGGAGTCCTCTAAAGGGACTGTTTACCTTCATGCTTGGCCCTGTGAGGCAGGTCCCACCCACCCGAGAGAAGACGGAGGTGTGGCGAGGCCAGGCAGGTGTGCCCACAGTCACAGGGGGTCAGCACCAGGCTAGAATCCAGGCAGACAGACCTGGGCCGCTGCCCCCATAGCAGGAAGGGCACACCTGACTGGTAGCCGTATCTTGGTGCCTGGCAGCCCTCCAGCCCTCAGAGACAGACAGACAGACAGACAGACAGACAGACACACACACACACACACACACACACACACACACACACACCCCATCCTAGGGTCCTGCTGGTTCAGGGACGCCCTGCCACAGAGAGGATGTCCAGGAATAGGACTTGGAGACCAGCCCCTCCCTAGATCCTCCATCCTTCCGACACTCCAGGGACCTGAGAGCCATGACACTTGGCCCCAGAGCTGAGGGGTCACACACTGCCAGTCCTCTCCCCACAGCTGGCCAGGCTTTGGAGCAGTCTGTCTCCCCCAGGGGCCTCAGGATCCCGGGTTCCTGCTCTAGCCACTCAATGCCCAGCCCACCCCATCCCACACCTAGAGCCCCGGTCCTGGGAAGCTAGGTGCTTATTAAAGGCCCACACAACTGTAACCATTTGTGAGCCTCTGATTACACCTCCCCAGATTAGCCGCGCAGGTAATGCTCATCTGGAGGAAACCTGACTCAGCAGTCTTTGGAGTAAATAATTTAACTGCAAGCCCAGCACAGCCAAGCAGCCAGAGGCCGAGCGCAGAGCACGAGCCGCCCGTCAGTGCAGACCGCTCCACGCCAGCACCCGCCGCCTGCACTCCCGGCCTCTGACAGGAGCCACAGGGCTCTGGGGACACGAAGGCCTGGCTCCGCTACCTGCCGAGCCCGAGAGGGTCTCCCTCAGGTAAGAGTTGCCTGGGACCTGCTGCAGGACAGTGAGGGCCAGGTCTGTACGGAGCCAGGGCGGGATGCTGGGAGCGGAAACACCCGGTTCCAGGCATTCTTTCGCGGACGCCAGGCACGAGGCAGGTGGCATCTGAACAGCCCTCAGTCGATGCACGTGGACGCCAGGGGCGGGGTGAGTGTCAGGGTGTCTAAGGTCCCTGTGTGGTGAGGCTGCAGAGGAAGGAAACAGCTCCCATAACGTCCCCTCGAGGGCGGGCCTGCTGCCTGAGCCCACAGGGGCCGTGTCCGCCTGCCTGCGCCTGTCGCCAGGCCAGGCCTACCACCAGCTCTCCACACCCTGGGGAGACCCAGGCCCCGTGCACACCGTGTCAGAGTGACCAGGCTCTGAGGGACAACCTGCTTCATATCACCAGGAGGGGATTTCAAGCACAGCTTGACCTCAGCACAGCTGTGAACGGGGGAGACCAAGGCCGCCGACACCCTGGTGCTCCCTGAGCCCAGAGGCAAGGTACGGCTGGGCCCTGGGCGGCAGGCTGCCCTCCGGACAGCAGTGGCAGTTGGCACCTTGTTCCCTGGTGCGCCTGCACGGTCAGATACTAGCCTAAACCCAGTGACATTAACACGCACTGGGGAAAGGGTGCCCGCAACCCCAGAACACTCTGGGTGTGCGATGGACGCCACTCACCCTGGCTCCCCTCCCAGCTGGCCCCCTCGAAGCACGTTCCGGCTACGAGGACCGGGCTAGGGTCCCAGCGCCTGCAGGCCTCTTCCTCCGAGCCTCTGCCAGCCCCAGAGCCACAGTGCAGGGCTGACAGACACCAGAAGGGACCACGGTAGTTTGGATGGGGGAGTGGAGAGGCCTCCCGTGGGGGCCTGGACGGGGAGGTGGACAGGGAGCAGCAGAGCCTGGTTCAGCCACGTGCATCTGAGTCTCTGTAACACCCTCGACTCTTGCTCGTCTCACCACTTCCCCACTGCAGGCTTCCCCTGGGGGCCGGGTGCCCCAGGATGGACGTGTCCCCTGAATGCACACCACAGGCCACGGGGCCGGTGCTGGTCCGCCGGCGGCCCCCAGCACCCCCGGGCCTGGGTGAGGCTCTGAAGGCCAGGCTGCGGCGGAGCTGTGTGTGCAGCGTGCAGGGGGCCTGGGCGCTGCTGCAGGACCTGTTCCCAGCCACACGCTGGCTCCGCCAGTACCGGCCTCGGGAGGACCTGGCGGGTGACACCATGTCTGGGCTGGTCATCGGCATCATCCTGGTGCCGCAGGCCATCGCCTACTCGCTGCTGGCTGGGCTGCCGCCTGTCTACAGCCTCTACACGTCCTTCTTCGCGAATCTCATCTACTTCCTCATGGGCACCTCGCGCCACGTCTCCGTGGGCATCTTCAGCCTGCTGTGCCTCATGGTGGGTCAGGTGGTGGACCGCGAGCTCCTGCTGGCCGGCTTCGACCCTGCCCAGGACGGCCTGGGGCCTGGGGCCAACAGTAGCGCCCTCAATGCCTCAGCCGCCACGCTGGTGCTCGGGTTGCAGGACTGCGGGAGGGACTGCTACGCCATCCGCGTTGCCACCGCCCTCACACTGGTGGCCGGGATTTACCAGGTGAGGAGACTGCCGCACGGGGTCCTTCCAAGCTGCGCCCGGGCCCAGACCCAGATGGGGCACCTCAGCCCCTCGGAGCAGCCCCCTCGGTGCCGGCTGCCTACCTGGAAGGCCAAGCCTGGGGGAAACACAAGATCAGGGTGGTGGCTTAACCAGCAAGGAGAAGACAGAACAGGGCCCAGGCAGAGGCTGGCTCATGACCGCACCACAGGGGCTGAGGGTCACCAGGATCGGGGAGCCTGAGAGGCCAGCTGCAGAGTGTGGCCTTAGGCCCAGATGTACCCAACTCTCGCCACTCGGTCCCCACAGCCTCCCTGGCTTCCTGTCCCAAATGGGACCCTGGGGACTGCCGGCCTTCGTGTGGCTTCCCTGCACCCAGCCCTTCCTGGACCAGGGCTGTCCACCCCAATGTCACCCCCTCCCAAGGGCCACCCTGGGTCCCTCCCATCAGCTCCAGGTCTCCTGGTGGGGGGTGGGGGTGATGCATACGGGGCAGGAGAAAGGAGCTGCCTCCCAACTCCCAGAGCACAGTGTGTGAGGATCACAAGGGAGCGTTGCAGCCACGGCGGGCACCTCCAGTCTCTGCTGTGCCTGTGTGTGCACATGCGCATGCAGGGGGGCTGTGGATGGAGTCCATCTGGGAAATACGCAGCCAGCAGGAGGGAGATCGGGCTCCGTGCCGCGGCCCCGCCGCCCCGACCACACTCTGTCCGCAGGTCCTCATGGGCATCCTCCGGCTAGGCTTCGTGTCCACCTACCTCTCGCAGCCGCTGCTGGATGGCTTCGCCATGGGGGCCTCAGTGACCATCCTGACCTCCCAGCTCAGGCACCTGCTGGGCGTGCGGGTCCCGCGGCATCAGGGCCCAGGCATGGTGGTGAGCACGTGGCTGAGCCTGCTGCGCAGCGCTGGGCAGGCCAACCTGTGCGACGTGCTCACCAGCGCCACGTGCCTGGCCGTGCTGCTGGCGGCTAAGGAGCTCTCGGACCGCCTCCGGCACCGCCTGCGGGTGCCGCTGCCTGCAGAGCTGCTGGTCATTGTGGTGGCCACGCTCGTGTCCCACTTTGGGCAGTTCCATGAGCGCTTCGGTTCCAACGTGGCTGGCGACATCCCCACTGGCTTTGTGGCCCCACGAGTGCCAGATCCAGAGCTGATGTGGCGGGTGGCACAGGACGCTGTGTCCCTGGCCCTCATAGGCTCTGCCTTTTCCATCTCACTGGCAGAGATGTTTGCCCGCAGCCACGGCTACTCCGTGCGCGCCAACCAGGAGTTGCTGGCCGTGGGCTGCTGCAACGTGCTGCCCGCCTTCTTCCACTGTTTTGCCACCAGTGCTGCCCTGTCCAAGAGCCTGGTGAAGACAGCCACTGGCTGCCGCACGCAGGTGTCCAGCGTGGTCAGCGCTGCCGTGGTGCTGCTGGTGCTGCTGGTGCTAGCGCCACTGTTCCGGGACCTGCAGCGGTGCGTGCTGGCCTGTGTCATTGTCGTCAGCCTGCGGGGGGCCCTGCGCAAGGTGAGGGATGTCCCACGGCTGTGGCGGCTCAGCCCAGCCGATGCACTAGTCTGGGTGGCCACCGCGGCCACCTGCGTGCTGGTCAGCACCGAGGCCGGGCTCCTGGCTGGCGTCCTCCTCTCATTGCTCAGCCTGGCCAGCCGCACACAGCGCCCTCGTGCCGCCCTGCTCGCCCGAGTTGGGGATTCTGGCTTCTACGAGGACAGCACAGAGTTTGAGGGCCTGGTCCCCGAGCCTGGCGTGCAGGTGTTCCGCTTCTCGGGGCCACTCTACTATGCCAACAAGGACTTCTTCCTGCGCTCGCTCTACAGCCTGACGGGGCTGGACGTGGGGCATGTGACTGCCAGGAGGAAGGAGCAGGGCTCAGGGGTGGGGGCTGGCAAAGGAGATCTGGTCCAAGGCCGGGACCTGGGCCCAGTGAGCAGCACGGCCGCGCTGGTGCCGTCGGCAACCGGCTTCCACGTGGTGGTCATTGACTGTGCCCCGCTGCTGTTCCTGGACGTGGCTGGCCTGGCCACGCTGCAGGACCTGCGCCGAGACTACGAGGCCTTGGGCATCACCCTGCTCCTGGCCTGCTGCAGCCCCTCAGTAAGGGACACCCTGAGGAGGGGCGGCTTCCTCGGGGAGGACCAGGAGGACGTGGCTGAGGAGGAGCAGCTGTTCCCCAGCGTGTACGGTGCTGTGCAGGCGGCCCGAGCCCGTCACAGGGAGCTGGCAGCCACAGACTCCTCCCTCTAGGAGAGCTAGTGCCTGCCACCAGCCTCCACCTGTACCGTCGATCACTGCCGTCCCCACCCTAGAGGAACTGGGGAACCCCGACTGGGACGGAGGGCGACACTGTGAACACCCACAAGGACTCAGACGCTTGAGAACCCACCACCGCACCTTTGAGACACGCTGCCACAGTGCCACCTGGGCCCAGGGTTGTGCACCTGTGGTCTGTGGAGCCGATCTGACCTTCAGTGTCCTGTCTTAAACCAGGACCCCGAGGCAGTCACGTGGCCGCCGAGGTGCTGAAAAGACACTGGTCCCTTGGCCTGCCAGCCCCCACCCCACCACGTCTCTCTGAAGCCCCCGCAACACACGTGCCCAAGTGTCTCTCATACCTCGTGCCTCAGCCCTGGCTGGCCCTTGCAGGGCCAAAGGCAGCTGTGACCAACATGACCTCAGCCTGGCCCTTGGACACAGCACAGAGTGTGGGTGCCCACTAGCCATTTTGGGCCAGCTGCACACCAAGCTGAGCCTGAGCTGCCAGGGTGGCTTCCAGCAGGAAAGCAGCTGTGCCCCAGCCAGGGGCTGCCCAGCACCCACAGCGCCCTGTGCAGCCAGATGCCCTCCACTCTCCCTCCCCGGGGGATGCTTTGCCGAGAAGTGTGGGGCGGTGGCTTCTCAGATCAGGATGTCCCCACCACTGCCCTGAGCTGCACTATCCTCCACACCCGGACACCACCTCCTCTTTGTCCTGGTCTTCATAAAGTGGGCTCTGCCCAGCTGCTCCCAGGCTTTCCCCCCTCCCTGCCACCCACCTGGCCGTGACGAGGTCCAGCATCCAGTGGGTCCGAACCTGCTGGATGCCGCCGTGAGGGACGGCACCCACGTAGGCCAGGTTGAGCTGCTGGTCCCAGCTGAGGTCATACTGGTCAGCTTGGCTGTGCGGCAGTGGGGGACTGGGCACAAAACAAGGGGGAGTGGGGGCATTAGTCGGAGTTAACAGAGCAGCCTTGGCACACAGCCACACCTACACCACCAGGGCCAGGACTGGGGAGTGTCCGCTGGTGAATTTTACTGTCCCTGATGTAATAAAATGACTGCTAATGCCAGGATTGTTATGAAACCTACCTCATGTTTATGGAGATCAGGGCCCCACCCTGCCCACTGTCCCAGCAGGGGACTCTCAGCTCCAAGCCTGACAGAGGGAATGGAGGACACATGGGTAGCGGGGACAGGTCTCACCGCCAGGACGTCTTGATACCGCTGGGGTTGCCCCCTTGGGAGGCTCCTGGTCTGCACCAGAGTAGTGTCCTGGGCCAGGGGGGCCACCAGGCTGCCCTGGGGGGCCACCAGCCTCTTCAGACTCCTGGGGTCGACTAGGCAAACTCTGGAGCCTGCCCCAGGCTTCCCCATACTGGGTAGCCACTCAGCTAGGAAACCTCCGTGGCACCCCAAAACCGCACAGAACCGGCGGACAGAGAGGACCCCCCCAATCACATCTGGAGAGATCTGCAGTAGGCGCTCCTCATTTGGTTGGATGCGACGGGGATCCCAGAGGCCTGGGGCGGGGCTCGCGGTGGTGGTCCGGGAAGAGCGCACAGCGGGATAGGTGCGGTATGGGCCGCTCGGACCTCGATTTTCCCTTGCGGAGCGCTCACCAGAAGCCGGTGCTCCTCCAGAAGGGCCGCAGGGGCCGTAGCGCTCGGGCCGCGTCCACGCGCACCAGGTGCGGAGCCTCGGCAGCCGCTGGAGACGCGGCCAGAAGCGCGACCAGGAGCGGAAGCAGCGCGGGTCGAGGGTGCGGGGGGCGCATGGCAGGGGGCGCCGGGGGCACCCCAACCCTATAGACCCACCCGACCTTTGTCGCTCCCGGAGCCGAGGTCCGCGCC